CTGGCCAGAACCGCCGAAACCAATCCGAAAGGTTACGGGAAACACGACCAGCACCCGAAAGTCGCCGAGATCCTCACAGCACTTCCAAAGACAATTCGAAGCGCCACAAACCTGGGCCGCCGGGAGAGGCGCGAAGACGGTTACGCGTTGCGCTCCGCGGCCCGGGTCGGAGTGTTGCCAGAGAGAATCGTACCTCGCGCGGCGCAGAGCGTGAAGTTAAGGACCTAAATTGCCGAGGAAGCAAGCAGAACAGTTTGGCAGGGGACGAGAGGTCGCCGCCTTCGCGGAAGAGCCTGGCGTGTCGCCGTCGTCGGCGATGTGGTCGACGTCGTCTTTGTCTTCGTCGTCTTCTCCGTCTTCATCGCCATAAGCAGCCACAGGACCTCTCCTGGGGCGCGACCCCGCCAGGATTTCGCGGCGGATGCGGCCGTGGCGACGAGGGCCCGCCAGGAGGCACAGAAAGGGCGCTCGTCGTCGTCGTCGTCGTCGTCGCCGCCGCCGTCGTCGTCGTCGTCGTCGTCGTCGTCGTCGTCGTCGTCGTCGTCGTCGTCGTCGTCGTCGTCGTCGTCGTCGTCGTATCCTCCTCCTCCTCCTCCTCCTCCTCCTCCCCCTCCTCCTCCTCCTCCTCCTCCTCCTCCTCCTCCTCCTCCTCCTCCTCCTCCTCGTCCTGCTCCTCTTCCTCGTCCTTCCATAGCTATTCGGGTTCAAGGCCCGTGCCTGCGGGTTCCGCAGCCGGGCCGGCCCGGCGGGGGCCGCGGCGCACCCATAGCAGCGCGATGCCGCTCTCCCCACGGGGCCCCGAGGCCGCGCGCAGCAGGGGCTCGCCCCGAGGCCGCGCGCAGCAGGGGGCGCCCGGGCGCCGCTCCACGAGCTCGCCCTGGGGCCGCGCGCAGCAGGGCGCGGTGGCGAGCAGCGTCTGCGCCGAAGACCTGCTCGGTCGCTGGGCGGTGCGCGCGCAGCGGGGGTCCGAGCACGACTCCCTCGGCCGTGGGGCGGCGCGACCGCAGCAGGGCGCGGCGACAGACCTCACCCCGCGCTCCGAGGATTGCCTGCGGCGCCCTGCTGCGGCGGTGCGGAACCATCGGGGCAACAAGATCCCCAGGAGCACCCTGTCCCCAGAGACGGAAGAGCTGCGGGGGCTCTTGCGGCAGGACATGGACGACTGCTTGCGGCGCATCGTGGTGGAGGAGGTGCAGGCCCTGCGACGGGACCTGCGGGAGTGGCTGCCCCTCGGGCGCGCGGCCAGCGAGGCCGCCCAGCAGGCGCGGCCCTTCGTCGACGGCACCGCGGGCCCCCTGAAGTGTCCTGCTGTGCTGCAGCCGCGCATGCAGCCGCTCGCCTTCTCACGGGACGCGATCGATGAGCTGCCGAGCCTCGGCCCGGCCGGCGGCGTCGGCGCCGAGCAGCCCGGTCCAACGTCCGCCGGGGAGGCAGCGGGCGCGCCGCCCGCCCCCGCCGCGGGCTGCGGCCCAGGCGCCAGCCACACGGGCGCGGGCTCGGGGGCCTTGGAGGAGGCCCAGCAGGCTGGCGAGGCGAACGCGTCCATCGTGGCCAGCAAGGCGGAGTTCAACATGGGCTCCAGCGAGGCGCAGCGCTTCAGCGAGGGCAAGGAGCGCCGCCCCCCGACGACCTGGTGGGAGTGGGAGCGCTCCAACAACAAGGGCTGGGCGCAGTACACCACCCAGCAGTCGGGGAGACTCGAGAAGGGGTGGCGGTCTGGAGTTTCGAGGATGTTGGTGCGGAGCGGTATTGCTGGCAAGACGCCAATGGAGATATATTTTGTGGACATGGTCCAGCGTGACCCCGAGTCGGGGAACGTTAGGCGAATACGCCGCGTGGGGGACGTGTGGTGGTCCACGAAAGCCCAAAGGCTGTGCAGGGCTGTCACCCATGCATTACACACTGGGGAACCAATTCTTCACGCTTCGCGTATCCCCACCAGCTCAGCTCGGCGACTGCGAATGCGCGTCCGCCCGCGACCAAAAAAAGTATCCCCACCAGCCCATTCAGAAGCCCTGCCCACGAGAGCTGACGAGAAAAGGGACGAAGGGACACATCTAGGGAAACAAAGCGAGCAACCAGGATGAACCGAGAGGTCTCTGGGAGCAAGGGGGTGGCCTTGGAAGGCCTCTTCGGGCCATCCCTGGGGGCCGCGTGGGGGCGAGGGGAAGAGGAGGCGGAAGAGGCGGAGGAGGAGGAGGAGGAGGAGGAGGAGGAGGAAGAGGAGGCCTCTTGGGCGCCTCTTGGGGCACTCTTGGGGCCTCCTGGAAGCTTCCTGGGGGCGTCTTGGAGGGTTTGGGGGGCCTTTGGGGCTTCTTGGGAGCCTTTTTGGCCGTCTTAGGGCGTTCCTGGCTTGTCTGACGCCGTCGGAAGCCGTCTTGGGGGCCTGTCTGGGTCGTCTTGGGGCCCTCTTGGGGCAGATCAGGGGCTCTTAGAGGCCATCTTGGGCGTCTTGGAGGCCTCTTGGGCCGTTATGGGGCCATCTTGGAGGCCTCTTGGGCGATCTTGGGAGCCTCTTGCGCTGTCTTGAGCCGTCGGAATGCCGAGAAGAAGCAAATGTCAAAATCTGTCAAACATTTTGGGACAAACAATGATTTTGGCCTCTTCGTGCCCTCCTGGAAGACCTCCTGGACGCCTTTTGGGCCGTCTTGGGGGCCTTTTGGGGGCCTCTTGGGCCGGCTTGCGCCATCTTGAGGCCATCTTAGGCCGTCTTGGGTGTATCTTGGGCCGTCTTGGAGGCATCTTGGGGCCATTTTAGCCGTCTTGGAGGCCATTTTGGCAGTCTTGGAGGCTTGTTGGGCCCTCTTGGGGCCGTCTTGGGGGCCTCTTGGGCCGCCGTCATGGGGCCATCTTGGAGGCCTCGTGGGCGATCTTGGGGACCTCTTGGGCCGTCTTGAGCCGTCGGAATGCCGAAAAGACGCAAATGCCAAAATCTGTCAAAAACCTACGGGCCCTCCTGGGAGACCTCTTGGAGGCCGCTTGGGCCGTCTTGGAGGCCTCTTGGGGGCTTCTTGGGCCGTCTTCGGCCATCTGGAGGCCATCTCAGGCCGTCTTGGGTGCATCTTGGGTCGTCTTGGAGGCATCTTGGGGCCATCTTAGCCGTCTTGGATGCCATCTCTTGGGCGTCTTGGAGGCCTCTGGGGCCGTCTTGGGGCCCTCTTCGGACTCTCTTGGGGCCATCTTGGGAGCCCTGGAAGGTCTCTTGGGGCCATCTTGAATGCCATCGATCAAAGGCGGAGCTGGGATAACGTTCAGCCCCCCCCAAAGAGGCCAAAATGGTACCAAAACTTGAGTAGAACCAATGATTTGGGCGCCCAGAGGGCTGGTGGGATAACGCGCAGACCCCCCCCCCCAGAGAGGCCAAAATGGGGCCAACAGTAAAACCAATGATTTTGGCGCCCAGAGGGCTGGTGGACCATTTTTCAGCCCCCCCCCAAAAGAGGCCAAAATGGGGCCAAAACCTTAGTAACACTAATGGTTTTGGCTTCCTCGCCGAGGCCGTTTTGGACGCCCTGACACCTCGCGGGGGGGCCCGAAAAAGTCCAGGGGAGGGGGAAGGGGAGGGGTCAAGTTAGCCAGCTCGAACGAGCCAAAAGGCTCCATCCACTCCCACCCGCCCTCCCACAACATAAGAAGCAAGTGCGTCGTGTCCGACGCCTGTCGCTCATCTTATATCGTGGGCGGCTAGACGTTCAGCGCGCGACCTGAGCTGCGTCCTACTCCTGCCGCGTATTGAGCAACGCCGACGAGAAACAAGGACGCGCGCGATGTGCGCCGCGCCCCGCTCCGGCCTGTCATGTTGCATCGTCGACGACAACATGTCCAGCGCGCGAAGTGCGCCGCGTCTCATTCCAGCCACGCGCGTTGCACCGCCAATCGTTTCGCTCCTGCCGCGCATGGAGGAGGGGGAGGACGAGGAGGAGGAGGAGGAGGAGGAGGAGGGGAGGGAGAGATGTCTCTCTTGCGTGGACACGACAACGGGCGCGCCGGCAGCGAACCTCACTTGCTTGAAGCATTATGACTTGCCGCCCGCCCAGCTCCTCAACCCGACGGGCCGCAGCGTCGACGACAAGAAAGTCCATGTTGACGAGCAGGCGTCCCCGCGCGATGTGCGCTGCGTCCCTTTCCCGCTACGCGATTCGCAGCGCCGACGAGGAGAAAGCACATGTTGGCAAGAAAAACGTCGACGTTGCGGTGTTTTTTGCCAGGTAGGGCGTCCGCGCGCGATGCGCGCCGCGTCCCATTCCTGCTACACTTTTCGCAGCGCCGACGACAGGAACGTCCATGTTGTCGAGTAGAACGTTGACTTTGTATTTTTTTGATAGGTGGGACACGACCACCCATTTAGGGCCCCCGAGCGATGTTCATTCCGTCCCGTTCCTGCTACACTTTTCGCAACTCGACGCCATGTTGGCGAGAAAAGAATTGAGTTTGAGTATTTTTTGACAGTAGGACGGCGGGGTTGTTATCGGTCGGCTGGGTAGGGGTTAGGGGGCGTCAAATCACAAGAAGTAAGGGTAAACCCTTCCCCGTAAGGGGACAAAAGGGTTTCTTGGAAGAGGAAAGAGAAATCTCCTTAGACCACCTGTCGCCCAAAGGGCTGGTAGGATTTGGGAGTCACTCGGAGAGTACAAGGAACGGCAGATGAACATAGTCGGAAGTAAACGGGGTGTCGATAGGTCCGGCCGCATCGTCATGCCGCAACACAGCGGCGGGTCACGACATCCGGCGGGCGACACTGACATGCCAAATGTGAGGTTCTGGCTGCGCAGGATTGTCCAGGCCCGTTCATACAGCTCCCTCTTCTTCCTCTCAATGCTGGTCACCATGTGTTATTGCGTATGGGTTGTGATAGATTCGCAAGTTTATCCCGACGCCAGGTCTATCTACAAGAAGGATTTGCCATTCACTGCTGTGGAGTTATGCTTCAACGCATTCTTCATCGTCGAGCTGCTCATTCGGATTGGTGCGTCCATATCGGTGTTGGAGTTTGTGCGAGATCAATGGAATATCGTCGATTCGCTGTGTGTGCTGGGTTCCCTTGTAGATCTTATCATCTTGCCTTCCTGGGGCAAGATCGCCGAGACCGATTTGACAGTCCTCCGCACGCTGAAGCTGTTCAAGCTTCTGAGGGTCCTCCGGCTGAGCAGAGCCTCCTGGGAAGTGGACATATTTTTGAAGGGGCTCCTCCATGGATTGAAAGAATCCTCCATCGTTTGGGCCATCCTCACTTTCATGCTTTTCTTCTTCAGTATTCTGCTGACGACGTACGCCAGCGACGAAATGCAGGAGAGAGAGTTTCGCAGCATATGGCTTTGCATGCACCGCCTTCTGGTTGCGGGAATATTTCTCGACGAGGTAGCAGATCTTTTGAGTCACATGTTGCAATTCGGTGATGTGATAAGCTACGTCACGTTCGTCTTTTTCGTGATCATCACCCAGTTCATCATTCTGAACATGCTTATCGGGGTCATATCCTCTGTCGCTGGTGATGTGAGGGGAGAGGAGAAGACACGCGAAAAGGAGATCTTCTTGCGCAGCAATTTGGCGAGCATCGTTGAGTGCTACATTCAAGATGACGGCTGGATCTCAAGAGGCGAGTTCCGGCTCATCTGCAATAACACAGACGTTCATAAGATCCTTCATCACTTTGGCGCAGAAGTGCACTCCCTGCCATCGCTGGAAAAGTCTCTGTTTGCACGGAGCGACTACATTGATTTCGACACGCTGTTCGAGGCAATCGCGAACCTGAACGAAGCAAAAGTTGCCACCGTGAAGGACATATTCCACGCCCAGGACGTGCTGAAAAAGTCGCTGAATGCCATCGAGGCCCAGCTGGCCGCGGCTGGCGTTCACAGTCTTGTGGTAGATGCCACCTCGCCGTGCTCGCCTCTCAGGCAGCGCGACATTTACGCATGACGCGGCACGCACCCGTCCTATTCGAATCCTGTGCCGTTGCTGCCCTCGCCAAGCAAAGGCCTGGCGTGGCCGTGGGTCCATCCTTCCGTCCCCTTCATCTTCGGCTGCTTTTCAGGGTGGGCTGGGGCATCTCGATAGGCGTGGTGCGGATGTGAATGCAACGGCTTGCAATGGCGATGGCTTCTGGGAGCGATCTGGCTTTGCCGCGTGTCCCCCTTCAGAGGTCTCGCCGCTCCCTCGCCTCAAAGTATTCTGATTGCAGCGACACGCGGGATTCAAACAATGGGCTCGTTCGTGTATGCTAGATAGTAATGAACACACAATTTTCCTGACCTTTTCTCTTTTGTCCCATCCGTTTCTCTTATTCACCTGTCCTTTCCCAATTGTTCAAAACCTGCCTCGTTGGTCTCTCATCATCTGCCTGTCCATGTCCTGGTCTCGGTCAAAGAGCGACGCACTCGCTTACATCTCGTGTGCATGTATAGGTTTTCCTGTCGCATCTCCATGATTGGACGGGCGCGCTTATGAAGGCAACTGATGCGCGATTTCCCGCGTCTCCTCTGGAGGAGGAGGACGGAGGAGCCCCACGCGCTTTCATCTTGCTGTCTTTGAAGGCAACTGCTGCGCGATCTCCCGCGTCTCTGGAGGAGGAGGACGAAGGAGCCCCACGCGCTTTCATCCTGCGGTCTTTGCAGTGACCCTGCACCTGACGTTTCTGCACGTGGTCGTACTACAGCGGCGACTTGCTTCGAGACGCGCACGGCATCTGATAAGCTTGCGCATTGAGAACAAAAGGACCCCTAACCCTGATGACACGGTAAAGACGTGGCCTCGCTGAGGTCCCCGTCTTCACATCAGGGAAGATCAACATGTGCGGTTTGGCCTGATCCGTCTGCAGAAAAGACCCCCCTGTCCCTAAGTTCCTGGCCCTTCCACCTCAGGCCCCCTCCCAGAAGGTCAAGGGCCCTGTTTTGCTCAATCATGCTGCGGCGAGATCCCGCGATTTGCCCCGAACTGTTCCGCGCCCCGGCCGAAGGCCCTGCTTACACCGCGAGCCTCGCGGGGCCGCCTGCGGTGCCGAGGCGCCCTCCTCCTCCTCCTCCTCCTCCTCCTCCTCCTGTGCCTGTGCTGCGTGCCTGCACCCGTGTGGCATTTGATGACGTGGTGGTGGCTGGCACGTCCTTGTTTCCTTCTCTCTCTCTCTCACTCTGTCTCTTTCTCTCTCTCTCTCTCTCTCTCCCTCTCCCTGCCTGTCAGAGAAGGAAAAGGTACCACCCATACCTCTACCCCCTCGCCCGTTTTCTCCTTTTCTGGGCCTCCTTGGAGGCCCTCCTCGCCACCGCTGGATTTGCCTCGAAATCCTGATCAGAGCGCACCCCGGGAGAGCTCCGGGGGGCAGTGGTATCGGTACCTTGTGGTTTCCCCAGCTTGTGCATGCTGGCCCTCCGCTGTCCCTCCCTCGCCGGCGGAGTCCTGCTCCTCCTCCCCATGCGAATCCGACGAGGGAACGAGGGGGCAAACGTGGCCCTCCCCACGAGAGTCCGACGCTGCAGCAGAAAAGGAGCCAGCGCAGAGCATCGCGGAGCAGAGCCCCGGGGAGCCCGCCTTCCCGCGCCAGGTCTCGAGCTGTGGATCGATCTGCGAGGGCCCCGGTGCCCGACGCCGAGCGAGAGCGCCCGCTGCGCGGAGATTGCAACGCCAAGGTCTCCGGGTCCTCCTCCTCGATCTCGATCCTCGATCCTCCTCCTCCTCGATCTCGATCCTGCTCCTCGATCCTCGATCCTCCTCCTGGATCCTCGATCCTCCTCCTCGATCCTCGATCCTCCTCCTCGATCCTCGATCCTCCTCGATCCTCCTCCTCGATCCTCGATCCTCGAGCGTCGGAGGTTTGGGCGGGGCGCGCCTCCTGGCCACTCCCGTGCCGAGGAGCGGCCCCCCCGGCCGCCTCCTCCGGAGGTCCCCCACCGTGGGGCGGGGGTGGTCGCCCGAGGCATCCCCGAGAGCCGCCGGGTCTCGGAGGTTCCCGAGGCCCTGCTCCCCCCCCCGGAGGTGTCCTCGTCCATGGCTTCCTCCGAGTCCCCTCGGGGAGGGCAGGCGGGGCAGGGAGCGCTGTGCCTCCTCCTCTCGCCACCCACCAGACCACCCCGAACTTAACCCGCAGGCCCCCAGTTGCCCTCCATCTCCGGCGGTGGGGGGGGGGGGGCGTCGGGGAACATTGAAGAAGCACATGTGGAACCCGTGCCGCCCCCCTACAGTCAACCCGCATAGGAAGGATGGGCAACTTTCCCAGGGGTACTCTTGCATCCTCGCCTCCTCGACCCATCCTTGGCCGTTTTCGCTGGCCGAGCCCAGCTCGAAGAACTTGGAAACGGCCCTCCAGGGCCCTTGCATCCGTATCGCGCATCCTTCTGGTACGGGCTGACTGTATCTTCGCGGGCCCAGGCAGCGGCAGGGCAACCTTTTCACCGTTTCCGAAGACGTGCCCCTTGAAAATGGAAACGGCAAAAAAAACGACCGGGAACGGCAGCAAAAATTTTTGCTGCCGTTCCCGGTCGTCGTTTTTTTTGCCGGCTCTGGCTTCAAGCCTGGAACAGTTCCCGCTCCAAGCCTGGGACAGTTAACTGTTCCAGGCTTGGAGCCAGAGCCTGAACGTGGTGGAAAAATGGCGACGGAACCAGTAACAAAAACGGCGTCGGAACTGGCAACAAAAACGGCAAATCGGAACCGGTAAAAAAACGGCCTTGTCGTGTCCAGGGCCCACTATCGACACGAACGAAATTGGTACGGAAAGAATGGGTACAATGCCCAACGGTAGTTCCTGTTCATTTTGCACAGGACTCGCTGTCCGCGCCGCCGCGGCCTGTGTCCATTTGAGACAGAAGGCCGCTTACCCAACAGCGGCCGCTGTTGGTTTGGGACGACATTACTTGTTGGGCATTGTACCTATTTCTCCGTACGCATTCCGGGCTTCCAAACACTATGGCAGGGCAGTCCTATATCCCCCCGGTCACTGGACAGGAGCCCGGCGCAGCGCCCTCAGCGGCCTTGGCGGCGGCGGCCTTCGGGGCGGCGGCGCCCGCCGCGGCCGAGCACGGCCGCGCTGCCGTGGCGGCCGAGGCCGCCCGTCGGTATTTTCGTCGCCGACCGTCCCGGCATTCCTGTAGGCCTGCCACGACATATTCTTAGAATCGCCTACACGTAAGAGTGACCCTTCGCCGGAGTGACCTTTGGTGTTGGCTTATCGGTGCCCCCCGATCGCTGCGCGCGATGGCACAGCGGCTGTTTGCGCCATTGGATTTGGCCACCTTGCGCCCACTTAGTCCGCGCACCAAAGGTCACTCTTACCCAGGGGGTCTCTCTTTCGTGTAATTAGCCGATTTGGGGACTCCCAGGTCCCAATCTACTTCAAGCGCCTGCCTACTTCAAGAGTGGATATTTGTTTGATGCATGTTGTTGTTATTCGAGCGGGCCCGAACCCAATCTACTTAAGCCGCCTTCATACTTCATGTTTCCACCTACTTCTTCCGACTGGTGGGTACTCCTCTTTTGCGTGGCACCCCGCAGTTGCGGATAAGAGTGAGGGGGCGGATCGCGGGGTGAGTCGCGCGGACGACGACAACAACGCATCAATAATAGTAATGATCATCTTAAGACTGTCCGCTCTTAGCTGCTCGCGTGCCATCCAACTCGAATATCGCAAACCGTCGATTCCCGCCCTCTTCGTCTTCGATCGTACCTCCTTATCAGGTTATATCTTTGTACCTGCCGCGTGTGTTTGGCGCACCTCCTCAAACAGGGGAAGAGAGGACGGATGGAAGGAAGGGATAGGGGGAGGGCAGTAGGGGCTGGCAGTTCGCCGAAGCCCCCAAGAACCCCCCGTTGGAGGGTCTCTTGTTTTCTCTTGGGTTGTTCTGTGATTTTCTGCATTTGTTCCGGGGCCTTCCCCCCGGGGGAAGCCCCAGAAAATCCTGAGCCAGAGCCCCTGGCGGCCGCAAGGCGGAGATCGTGGACGAGTCCGAGGCCGAGGATCGCTGCCGGCGGCGGCGGCGCCGCCGGCGGCGGTCACGGCGGCAGCGACTACGCCAGGGGGAGGGGAAAGCGGCGGCGCGCCCAGGGGGAGGCAGAGGAGGCGAGCCTCCGCAGGAGGCTCCGAGGGCCTCCGGTCTGCCGGGGAGCGGGTTCAACCTGCTCCGAAGCCACAGAGGGCTTCTCCCGAAGAAGAAAAGCGCAGTAAACATGAACTTTCGACGCTCCGCGCGGATTTCTTGCATTTGCGCTGGGCCCCCCTGGCGGCGCCTCCGGCGCCGCCCCTGGCGCGCTCCGCGCCCCAGGGAGGGGGGTCCGGCGCGGATCCAAGAAATCCTGGCGGACCGTCGAAAGTTTATGTTTATGGTGTTCTTTTTTCTATTATCAGAAGTCCTCGGAAGACGGGAAGGTTTCTGAGAAGCCCCGCCGCCTTCTGATCGGGACGATCGACATGGTACGGGACGAGTGGGTACAAAGGCCGACAGCAGTTCTTGTTCATGTTGAGCAGGGCTCGCTGTCGGTGTCGCCGCGGCCTGTGTCCATTTGGGACAGAAGGCCGCCTGCCCAACAACGGCCGCTGTTGGTTTGGGACAACATTTGTTGTTGGGCATTGTGCCCCTTTTTTCCGTACCCATTTGGGGCGTCCTAATCTGAGAAGGTTTGCCCTTCTCACTTCCCCCCTCGGCGCGCCGCCGAGTTTGGCTTTCGGGTCACAGCTCGGGTCTGAGGAGGCCGTCCGAGACGATCCAGCGCCCCCCCCGAACGTTTTTCGGCGAGGCGCAGCCGCCGTGACGCATCCCGAGGCTGGGGAACCGCCGCGGCAAGGACCTCGAGCCCAGAACCCAGAACTTCCCACTTTGGGAGCGCCGTTGACACGAGGACGACCCCGAGGCGGACGAGGCCATCAGGGCGTTCCGGGAGGAGGCCGCCGCGCTCCGTGCGGAGCTCGGCCTCGAGCCGTTGCAG